CTGCAGGCGGACATAACTTCTAAGCTGAAGGAGAAGGCTGTGCTCAGCATGGTGCCAAGCCTGAGCTAGTCACCCTGGCTTGGAGTGGAGCTAGAACGTGCCCTGACATCTGCAAGCACAGCACAATGGTTGTGCGTTTGCCAAAATCATGCTGGCATTCCCTTACATACCCAAACACAAACTTATTTTTGAGAGAGTTAAGATCTCCAGAAGTTGATGGCATAATCATCCCCACCTGCTTGGAAAAGTAAGCGGGCAATCTGATTTTTTCAGTCCTGTTTCCATAAATAATTGTTTGCTTGCTCATTGGTCAAAAGATGCCAGGCCATTTTGTGCTCGACAGTTGAGCGTTCTGGTGGGAAGAGGCAGCAAGACACAGCCACCTCAACACTGACAGCAAGACAGCAGGGATGGCTGGGGGGCTCTCATTACAATTAATAAACGTAGTCTGACAGGATGACTATAACTCTACGAAGAAAATTAGTAAGAGGTCTCCAGGTTCAGAAAGTGGGAGAACTGCATCTTCTCTAAACAACTGCATTTTCATGTTCACGGCACAATACAGCTCATCTATGTGCAACTGGTGGGTGTGTTAGTGTACTTCAATCCACCCACACGCAAAGCTGAACAGAAATAGCACAAAAGTAAGAGAACATACAGTACTTACATTACCACTCACAATATATGAGCTAACTGAAATAATCACTCAAAAAGCAGAAAGAATGCAACAAAAAAAACCCCAACTCCAAATACTGTTTGGAATAGTCCTGTGCTGGGAATGGACCAGACTACATGACCAAACAGGACACTTCCATCTCCAGTCTCTGTAGAGAGAATGGATCTTACCATTTATTTTTATCCTCATTGGCAAAGGTACAAATCTTGTAAACTTCCAAAGCTTGTAACCATCAACATTTCATGACTGCCCTCTGCAAGACATCCTGTTGTAAATATCAGTAAGACAAATATCTCTAACAATAGTCAAACCGAGACATAGTTGATTACAAATTTACAGCAAAAAGATTTTTAATTATGAAGGAATTACAACATTTTAAATACATTCAGAGCTCACCTCAGTAAGGGATTAAACTATAGGGAATCAACCGGGAAATAGAGTTTTGTCTTGGCTTCAATCAATAGGTGACTATCATTTACATTTTTACAATAAAACAGAAATCTGATTTAAAGTGACAAATGGACAAAATTAAGTAAGGATTTAAAAGATTTCTGCAATCCATCAGCCATCTTTTCCAAAAATGGACAGCTAAAATCTGTTCACTTCTTGATCAGGGAACATTAATGCACAGCATTACCTATAGAAACCTACCACGCAATCATTGCTGCTATATCGAAGGCATTTAATAGGTTGGTGAGATATATTTTCGCCTCTTCTCAGCTACCAATCACGCAAATGGGCCAACGTTTCTGTAAGAGGCAGTTTTATGGGCTCCTCTCTTTTGTAAAGCACCATGGACTCTCAAACAAAAGGAAATTACTTCTTTTTTTTGTTTTCAGGAAGGGCAGCTTACAGGTTTCCTCATGAATCTCTCCCAAGAAAGATTCACGCATAGGTGTACAATAGGAAGTACAGGCAAGTTAGTATTCGCTTTTATCTGGGCCACCTCACTTGTATGAAAAAGTGGCTAGTGAGCAAAATCCGGCTCAGTAAGCAGCTGTTATGTTAAAAAATAAGCAACGGACCAGAACGTGAAATACAGAGAAGGCAAACGTTATTCATCTAAAATACTACGATCAGATTTGATAATCTCTCCTCCAATCTGAAAGAAGAAGGATGCAGAAATAGTGACCAAACAGATCCTGCAATGTCTGTAATCATTATGAGGATGTTTTGGCTGCTTCATTTATGGAAAAGGTGAATAAGAAGAGACATAATAATAACGGCACAGAGAGAATATACCAAGCACAGTTCCTCAGCATCATAACAAAACATGGGATGGGTAGTGGAGTTAAAAGTTAACACTCTTAAATTAACAGAAAACTTTTTTTTAATTAATGCAATGTATAATTATTCCTTGGAACTCTGTAAAGTAAGAACATCTGCAATTACATTAAGTGAAATTAGGACAATAACTCTGAATATTTCATAGCATACACCAACCACATCAACCATCAGCAACAGGCTAGCTAAAGATTCACCCAGCAGCAGATTATACCCACCTACTGCTCACAAAAGGTTATTTACATCTTCTTTGAAATCATTTGAACTGGCTAATACAAGAATTGGTCTCAGACACAACAGCAACCAGTTGCTGGTGTGGGGAAGTCTTAGAAGCAAAATCTTCAAAGCTATAAGGTCAGAAGTAATAGAAATAACCATTTTGGATTCATGGGCAAAGGCCATTTTTTCTTTCTTACTTTTGCTTTTGCACTATAAATGCAGATTGTTATATTCTGTTTTTACTCAAAGCTGAAACCTCTGAGTCCTGAATAAGAATTTTTCTATTATTTATCCTCTCTAAAGCTAACTGGAGAAACAGTGATGAAAAGTAACAAAACCAATTAGCTTAGTAAAACAGAATTCCCTTTTCTGTGAAATCATTATCTCATTTAGAAGGCACTGAAAAGATAAGAAACCTTATATCAGAATGTCTCATTTTTAGAACTGTACATTTCAATTTTTCATCACTCAAATCCACCTGCAATATTACAAAATTAAACCATAAAAATATTTCGTATGACTCAAAAGTGTCCTCCCAGTCTTCCTTCGCGGAGGGCTTTGACATCCTTTTTGTTTTAATTTGGAACAAAACTAGGTTTTTCTCCAGGAAATGTAATTTCCATCTTTAGCTCTACTCTGCTAGAGCTCTCAGAAATCAAGCATCTCAATAGCTATATTATTCGGTCATTCTTCCCAGTTTTACAAAGCTACTGTTGTAGTCTAGATTGCAAGAACGAAGGCAGACTGCACTCTTGGCTATGCCACTAAAATGTAATGAAACAGTGCTGTCCGACATAGGTCCTGTTCTACACGTGGTAGGCATTTCGGGCTCAATCTGGCTGCCTAAAAATAGGCACAAAAGACCTTTAAAATGCTCTAGATTATCTCTACAGGGCTGGCAAATATGCCCTGGACACATGCGAGACCAACGCCCTTCTGGAGAGGCAGCTGGAGGCCAGGCAAGACATCTCAGCACTTTGAAGATAGCACTGTACACCTATGACAGCAACGGAGCTGAGCCCTTCAAGTTTTGAAAGTTTTAGCATGGCTATCAGTAAGGAAAGAAAACATTTTCTATTTTTATGCCATACGCAGCTTATATTGCTTCACAATTTGCAGGTATGTTTCTTGATGGGCATTCACGTTCATTCTGCCGGTCTGAGGAATCCTGTCTTGTGCTTATTCAGTTTTAGGTTTTACTTTCAGTTGTTCAAATCAGCAAGTTCAAAGCTTCAGACTCCCTATATTCCTGCTTTTGTTTAGTTTAAAATCAACTAATATAAAGCCAAAAATCATATATTTGTCAACTTATTTCTGCATAACTTTTTTCTCAAGAGTTTTCTTAAGAACTTGCCAGCTGGCTGATCACTAAATGATGTATGTTCTCGAGCAAGCCACTGGCCAGATATAATCTCTAACAGAGATGATGAGCACAACGGACTTTAGTGCTTTCACAGGTGTAGCTGATAGGTCTATTTTTCCAGTTTAATGCCATTGTCTAACATAACCTACAATGCCAAAGGTGTTTTGAACCACAATTAAATGTATATGGTAATATGCCTTGTACTACACCGACATAAACACAGACATGACTTTGGTTTTTCACTCATGTTGAGTAGAGCAACCTAGAGAACATCCTGATTTCTTTTTCTAGCAAACTTCACTCTGAAATTATAAAGTTATATGATGTCATGATTCAGTATTTTTAAAGGAATATCCAACTAAATAACTATAGTTTAAATATATGGTAAAATAATGTAAAGATGTATTTTTCTTTTTGAAGTTTAAATACTCTTTATGACTGTTTCACCTGTGTTCCTTCTACATACACTAGTTTGCAAACTTCCAATATAATTCATCCAAAGGACACGGTAAACAAAGTATTTGCTACTGGATTTCAATTTTTATACAGGCATTCAGAGACAGCACATGTCTAAAAGGTAAGCAGAATCCTTACTAACTTAATTCCTGCAATATTTACAGCCAATTGCTGTGAAAAATTGTTAGGAGGTATCTCTGTCTTTAAGGGAACGATATAGTAAATGAATGTCACCAAAGTCTGGGAGTTTGCTTTCAGAATTAAAGCTGTTTAAGGTAAAACCTACCAAATACAGGTAGCTTCTTATTTCTTGCAAGTCTGCATATTGCAAAAATTAGTCTTAATCTCTACATAATAAAAGCATTGAAATTTCAGCAACAAACTTCACTAGAAAACTGTTAATCTTAAAATTCCTTTCTTTCATAATACGATGAGATTCGCTGTGCCTTCCAGTTGGCTCCTTGGGACGCCCTTCCCCTTCCTCTGTTCAGTTTCCCACTAAATAACAGTGCATGACAAATGACTGGAAGCACGTGACTGAAGCAAACACATACAAAATCATAGATCAGTTAAAGATGTACTGGGGAAAAAACATGCCCAAACTCTGGTGCAAATATTGAAAAAAATATATTTGAATGGTCCAGGTTTTAATATCATAAAGAAGATATATCACGTAACTGATGTCAAATATCAAATGTTGAGAATTACTAAATTTAATTGAATTGTCTTAATTTTACTTGAAGACCCCTAGAATTTTGTAATTTTTTAAATCAATATGGCAAGTTCAATTTGGAGTTAAACACGCAAATTTTCTTGCTGTCAACAGACCTTCATGTGTTTATCTGAAGGCAGAAATTAACTGAAAATGTTTCCAGACACAATGGAAAGCTAATTCAACGATTCTGTCTATCTAGATTGCATTACTGTTTGTTCTAAATGTACAAAAAAACCCTCCAATTTATATAGAAAAGCAGAAGATTTTAGAAAATTAAAATTACTTACAAGCTGCTCAGACTTTACACCATAGAGCTGAATGGTCTTTGCCACATTTTTTGCCACAGCCAAACTGAGGTTTGGATCAACAGCAGCCACATTGAGCTCACTGGAAGCAAAGATTACAAATCTTAGTTAAAAACTAAACAGCACTGTATTTAATTGATAGGGAATTCAACTATAATTAGGTAGTTATGTGGCATAACAACTTAGAGAGAGTAAGGCATCTAACCAAAGCTTTATAAGCACTGTAATTCAGTTTACAGTTTAATAAGTCATTTGGGAATTTTACGTGCAGAGTGTTCCTGTTCTGGTAAAAATGAGCAAAGTTTAGGAATGACAATTCAGTGTGAAATCACCTTCTCTATTAGTAATTCCATTCAAAAATATTGACTGCAATTAACTACATTCAAGGTTTGGCAGCAGCCTTCAAACATTACAGGTGAATACATAGTCATTCAACTCTGGAATAATATGAGCTGTGCAGAAATACCCAGGGGATGCCTTAGCTCGACACAACTAATAAGCTGTATTTTAGGCAAAACGGTATAGTAACAGAAGCCCCAAAGGAATGACAGGGAACAAACTGAAGAAGAAGAAAAAAAAACCTAAATCGCTTCCAGTAGTTCGTGTTCATGGAACCTCACAGATATCCATCAGCTGGAGATGCATTCGTAAGTGCTCTATTGAGATCACAGACAAGGCCAAGGCCAAGGCCAGTCCCGAGTGACCATCATGCTACCAGTGACGAGACTGATCTCTCCCCCGAGAACTGGAGAGAACCTAGACACCCTGATATCAGAATATATCCTTCTCCGAGAACTCTGCAGGGCCCCCAACAACATTAGCTAGAGGTCAGTCCAGAAAACTCAGATAAAGTTTTAGAATGTTATGGCCTTTTCTCTTTTTCTCTGCAAGAACAGACAGTAGATGTGCTGAGCATTAGCAGCTCCCAATATCAAAGGTGAAGGGTCAGGATTTAGTATTACCTGCCCACACATACTAGGAATACTGTCCATGATTGTCAGGTTCTATTAAACAGACCAGTCTTTACCAAAAACTTATCAGGGAAAATACTCCATTGGTAATTTAAATATCTCATTTTACAAGTTCTACCCAGAATAGTTGTCATCTTCTGTTATCTTGCTATTCCACTCTAATAAAATATTTATATCAGGGATTATCGTTTGCAGCCAAGCAACTATCATCTCCCTTCAACACAGTCAGAAAAATTAAGATATCAGGCATTTACGATATGTTTAAAGTTTCTTTCTCCTGTTCGGTAAGGTAAAAATAGTTAAACTTCTCATGCATACATGCAGAAGAGTCTAAATGAATATTCCAGTTATTCCAGAACAATAAAATGCAGATGAGAAACCCTGACTTAGTTTTAACACTAATCATTTGTATAATTAAAGAGTAATCTAACTTCTGGCGCTTCATTCCTAAAATTACAACTTAGGAGAAAAAAACATGTTGAAAATTATATGTTGCAATGTATTTTATCTGCATACCTGGCTATAGTCTTAATAATGCTGTCAAGCTCGTCAGAAGAAGGAGGATTACGACCGCCAGGAGGGAAGACAAGATTGATAGGGTCAAAGAGTCGAGATAAGGATTTTGACAAATAAGCAGCTTCATATGATTGCAGTGAATCTTTCAAGGCCTTTTCTGGACTGTGGGTTTAAGGCAAAATTATTACGTTTTAAACTAAAATATACAATAGCATTGTTATATCTTTCCAGACCATACAAACTTTGCAGTATCCAACCCAGTTTTTCTTTCTGCTCTCTAAACATATACACTTGAAGATATTTGGACAGTGTACAACAGCTGGCTTTTCACTTGAATTATATAACTAGGCAGGCAACTGCTCTGGGTAGCTCAACACAGTTCTTTGCCCTTTCCTTAAGACCCATGTGGAATCCCTACTTCAAGCTGTTCTTGAGACATACAACGCTAAAAACACCGGGGAAATACCCAGAACTGCAATTAAAGACCTTTTTGCCGTCACATATTTCATTAGCAGATGGCTTGTGCTCAATGACATATTTTAAAAAACTTTTAAAAATCCTCTCTTGGTCTATATATGCTTACAGAAAGACTAGGATAGAAACAAACATCTTAAACCTACCTTTAATAAGCTTCCATCCTTATTATTTCTCTTGATGAAAATGAGTAAGTAGCAGCTCTCTCAAACATTTTACCTTAGTGTCGGAAAAGTTTGACAGAGGTTTTACTTCGCTACCACTGAAGTCAATGATAAGTCTCCCACTGACTGCACTGGAACATATTTAAGCCAACACAAATCTTACCTAAAATAATTATTTTATCTCACATAAGTCTGCAAGTCCTAACGGACTTGATGGGCCTGTTTTCCGTTTAATCTTTCTGGTATCTATGACTCATATCATGTTTTTTTTAGGATGTAATAAACATACAAACTGTGTATCATTACAAACTGATTATCTATCATACTCCAGTGACTGTGGTTTCATTACAGAATCACTCAACAGTTGAGGCTGGCAGGGACCTCTAGAGGTCACCTAGTCCAACCCCCTGCTCAAAGCAGGGTCAGCTGGAAAAGGCTGTTCAGGACTGTGGCTAGCTGGATTTTGAATATCTCCAAGGATAGAGACCTCTCTGGACAAACTGTTCCAGTGTTTGACCAACCTCCCACTAAGAAGTGTTTACTGATATTTATATGGAATTTCCTATATATCTGAAGATATATAGGAAGAGGCCCATTGCCTCTTGTCCTGTCACTGGGCATCACTGAGAAGAGTCTGGCTCCATCTTCTTTACTCTCCCCCATCAGATACTTATACACTCTGGTAAGATCCTCCTGAGCCTTCTCTTCTTCCAGCTAAACAGTCCCAGCTCTCTCAGCCTCTCCTCACTTGTCAGATGCTCCAGTCTTTTAATCATCTTTGCGGCTCTTTGGGGCTTGCTCCAGTATGTCCACGCCTTTCTTGTACTGGGGATCCCAGGAGTGTGCTGAGTACACTGATGCATTCAGCAGTGCTGAGTAAAGGGGAAGGATCACCTCTCTCGACCTGTGGGCACTCTGCCTAATGTAGCCCAATTGGATGTTGGTCTTCCTACGCGCAAGGGCACACCGGTGGCTCATGTTCAACTTCTTGTCCACCAGGAAGACCAGGAACCCCAATAAGAGAAAGCTATGGCAGTAATTGCAATATCTATGAAACAGGATTTTAATCATTCCCTCGGTCTTTTTTTCCCCCACGGAGACAAAAAGATAAAACTAGTTTCAAAGTAACACTGTCAGGTTCTTTATCAAAGAGAAGACAATCCAGCGCTGCTAATCATATAATGAAATGAAAATCTTACAGCTTTAAAATAGTTCTAAAATAATAAACATGAGCAAACCAAAAAAGCTTTTAAAATTCTCCTGTTTTGACAAGTTGAATAACATTAACTTCTTTAAAATATTCATTTTTCTTACAGGTTGCAAAGCTTTACACTCTATTGCAATAGAGTTCATAATACATACTCATAATCTTGAGTTTTTTGCATAAATATGTCCTGTGTATCTTCTTCCATTTGTTGCAGTTCAGCAAAGAGATCAGTACTTCCACTTGTGTTAAAATTCCTTTGAATATTTTGACTATACTGTTGCAGGCGTTTCCACAAGTCATTATAAAGCCTCAGTAATTTAGGGTATTCTCCTTCAAAGGCTTGCTTCAAAAACATAGAGGCTGCAAAATATAACAGAAAGCAATAAGCATTGCTAAGTTCCAGCTAATTTATTTGATTCATATAAGCAGTCTCTATCTCTGCATTTAAATCAATGAATTACATACAGTATCAATATGTCTGTAATTTTACTAGTGTAACGTTTATTAATAATTTCAAAGTGGTAAGAGTTATCACAATAAATGAAACTGATAAACTTAAGTATCTAAAGCATTAGTATGAACTCCACCATTAAAAAATTGGATATGAAAAATTTATTTCATAAAATATACATACTAATTATGGTCATGAAATGCTTGCTATGAAACACATCATTATTAGTATTATTACTCATTTAAACACAGTGTGTGATTAGAACTCACTAAACCTAAAGATTTTCTAACAACAGCTTGGCAGTGGAAAAAGTATAGTTTTGTAAAGCTTTCAAGATACCTATTTAATAAGGACAAAGATAACTTCTATTAGCCAAACTACCAAATCTCATGAGAGAAGTGTGTGCTTTTACACATACTTCTTAACACAAGGCACCTAAAAAATGCGATCCCTTGTCAAACAAAGAATGACAAAGCCAGCAGAAAAAGCAGTGTTATTTTCAGCCTTAAATGTCTTGCCACAAGTAGCAGGAAATGAAACAAGTGTACAACTGTTTCAAAGACTAACATTAATCTTGATCTAACATCACTCATACTTTATGGATTTCACCATTACATTAGGAGATTAACATTGCTCTTTTCATTCAGAGGTTTTCAGGTTCTGGACATCTGCCCCAGTTCCCCCAGCCCATTCTTCCTACTTAAACGTGTTCTAATTTTGAATTAGATTCATATCCATCGTCAAATACAGAGTGATCCTAGGTCACGAAATGATGTTTACAAAGTCTGTTCCAACCTCACAAAAGCAGACAATGATCTGTTGTCACCCTCTGTAAACTCTGTTGTGAATTCATATTTTTACATCACTCGCCTGATATTGTCTAGTCTTCTTCCAATCTATATGATCCAGAGGCCTATGACTGAAGTCAGTGGATTTACTGACTTAGAATTTACATGTTAAAAAACAAACATTCTCATACAGAATGAGCGTCACTTAAAAAATTGAAAGTCTACTTGCTGTAAGCAGTATTTCCCCAAAGCTCAGATGTAGCAAAGTAAAAACAGCAGTTGCACGGTAAAAAAAACAACAGCTCTCTCCAAACCTTCATATAAAAAAATTAAAAATCAGAAGTAATAAAATATGTTTGAATAACTGTCAGATGATATACTGCTGACAAAATGTAGAAGTTACCTTAACTCTGAAATGTTGATTGATCCCATTAACTGACGTGACAATGCCACAGTCCTAAAACCTAGTGTTGAAAACAGTTATCACATGTTCAGTTGGAACATATGAGACTCCTGGTATGTACATAGGGCTGATAAAGTATGCGTAAGGCAAACAGTAAAATTAATATGTTTTAACACAAGTTGATCATATTTTCTTTTGGGATCGCCTAGTTACCAAACAACCACTGAGCATGAATCAAGCAGTTACTTCCTCAAAATTATATCACTGCTATAAAGCAGGGCAGGACCAATTTTTGAAAGGCTAATGCAATAGCTGAGATCAGAAAGATAAATGCAAATCTTACACACTTTTTTTGTGTGTGCAAAAGACTAGCTTTATAAGCTATAGACAAACACGAAAGATATATTTACGAAAGCATCAAAGTCATTCGGCTTTATGGTCCAATTGCATGCCGCATTATTATGCACTGGCAACAGTACTGTCTCATGTTTATAATGTGATTTTTATTTAATCTTCCTTGATCGTATCTACTAGCTATTTATTATATATGTACAGAATATTGTGTATAGTCAGAACATCAACCATTTATCTATATTAAGACAAGGCACAATTTTAAAGGAACTCAATTCCCATTTATAAAATGGCTAAAATCAGGCTTTCATAACTTATAGCCTTCTGTTGTTGAAAATTGATAAGCACTGTTCCTTAAAATCAAGTTCGCATTTATAATTTTGGCAAACCCGTTCACTTTTGGAAATATAATCTACCATTCCAAACATTTTTACCTTCACATACAGTTGCAAAATTATGTGTCTGCTATTAGGTTATGATTACTTAATAAAGTAGAAGATATTTCTTTCTGAAAACTCAATCACTGTTTAGGAGGATCACAATAACAAACTGTCTGGTTACAAAAAGAAGGAGGAGTTGTAAATTCATTGACTCAGCGATCAGTAGAAACCACTGCTATAGCTTACTAGAGGAGATAACGAGCAATAGGCTTACTGAAATGACGAATTCAAAATAAATACAGAACACATTACAAATCATATATACTGAATACTTACAGTCTGTTGCTGCCTGAAACTGAGAGGAAAGAGTCTGAGTTACCGCAGACCAAAATTTGTACAAAATATCCGACTGGCCGTCCTGGCAGCAAGGGACAAGAGAAATGAAAGTTTCAAAACACATCCTTTTCCAAGAATCTCAAAGAACACAAATGCTCCCAGTCAAACGTTTCCTTCCAATCTGTTCTTCCACCACTGAGAATGAAAACTAAGTAGATGAAGTTTGAGAAGTTTCCCTCAAGTTTAAAGCTAAGAAAAATATGCGAGAAAACAAAAACAAAAGCTTCAGTCATCTCTCAAATGCAACCTCTTCCCTCATATTTAACAGATCTCCTCCCAGCTCTCAGATAAAAGATCTTTTAGAGAGGTGCATGAATATAGAAAGAAATAATAAACCTCTAGAACTGTGTTAGAAAATCTCTGCACGTTAGATGACCTTCTGATTCAGTGGGGCTTCCCGTGCTGACTAAATCATAGCAATTGTTGTTATTGCCAACGTGCTTGCAAACGCTTATTAGGGACCAAAACCTGTGCACGCTGTTCTGTTTCACATAGAACAGTAAGAAAGTTAAGACTAACAAAAACTTTAAAACGTGCGAAGACATAGTGACGCTCACAGTTGATTCTTCACCATCTTGTATCAACAGGGCTTGCTGCTAGAGGTGGAAACGAGGTACCATGTTCTTACAAAGCACATATGCGTGAAATAGCAGGTTGCTTAGTTACTCCCCCCAACATCTTTCATTTACCTTGAAAAAAGGCATTAAGTCACAGTTTTGTTTTCTCTCTTTTGCCCTCTTTGTGTTTGAGGCAGGAAAAAATACAGGAGATGATAACAGGTATCCTATTCTGTCCGTTGCTTAGGTACCTGCAAGATTGCCCAGGGTTTTGGTGGGAAGGCAAAGCTCGTCCTGGACAGAATGGTTGTCTTGGTTGCATTACATTACATTAGGGTCAATACATTACATATACAAATTAACCAAGCTGACCAAATCCCTATACTAACAATAATCAGCAAAAAGTGCTCAGAATGACAAAGTGAAATACCTAACAGTAATTACAAAGGTTAGCTATTCTAGAGATTTTAGGTTGGCACTTGGCTGTTTCCATCATGACTCATTCTGAAACATCAAAGTCTTTAAATCAAGACATAACATTAACAGTTAAATATAAGCAAAGGGCTCTATGTTGCAATCACTGTCAAAAACGGATGCATTCTTTCAGCTTTCCTTTTGGCCCTGCCAATGACTTTGCTGAGAAAAATTTAAAACTTTAGCTCTTATTAATAATACTAGACCTTTCAAAGTGTCCGTACAACTTCTGTCCACTGTCACAAGAACAATGAGATTAGCTATCAAATATAAAAGTCCAGCTACTCCAAACTCAGTTGCTATTTAAGATGACGAAGGAATACAGAATGCACTCTATTCCCTTGCATTGGTAATAACATATGAAGTAAGGAAGGTATTTAGACAGAATGTCACACATAGGTTGAATGCAGTTTTACACTGCTAAAGATCTGATCACTGAAAGACTTCAGGTTCAAGCTCAAGTTTTCCACCCAAAAAACTGTCACGTTAAAGAATGTATATAAAAACTGAAAAACCAGTTAAAGGTACAATGAGTCATCTAAAAGTTTTTAAAAATATGCCCCTCAGGGAAACAATAACTATCAGATAGAACGCCTTCACAACAAGTTCTGAGATTAGATAAGGACTAACCCCACCCCTGTCCTCTACAGATATTCAAAAAAACAGATACCTGAGCCACCACGTGTTAAGAATTAAGACAGAACTTTTATGCTGTTGGGCAGTTGCAGGGGACTTCTAGTGGGAAAATGGTTGAGAATTAACACAGGAAAATAAGATAAGCTGGGACGATGGAAGCTCATTTGTGACTCCTTGAGGACATCGGATGGATTTAGAAACTTAAGTAACCTATTTTAGAGTTATGTTTACATTTTCTGTAAAATTGTAGTTGATTTTCACAAATGGGCAAAAAAAAGATCATATTAGACAGTGATTCAAAAGGTGCAATGCCTAAAGAGGCTTTGGTTTTTGTAAATTTATTACTACAGCACAAATGTCAAATTAGTCAGTTCTTCGTTTCACAGTTTCATATTTAATGTACAAAAATTACTAGAAAACAAATAACCTTTCACATCAATTATACCGTAAATTAATGAGCTTTCATATTCTCCATCCCAACATGGAATAATGTTTGCCTATTCAGCATGGTAACTCAATTCAATTTCTAAATAATCTATGGATGTGGAAAAATAAATACAGATGACTTTTAAACAACTTACTTTCATTACTGCTACAACCACCTACAGCTGTCAGTTTCAGCAGAAAATACAATGATTAAATGGTCTTGAAAACAAAAAGTCTCTCCACATCTGTATTTCTATCTTGTCTGTTTCAACATAATAACAAGTAACATTAACATACATGTAACATCATGTAATTTTCATGTGCAAGTATGTAAGATTTATATGTAAACATATGCATACTTATTTACCTATGCAGTCAAGCAAGCATTGGTATAGCTGTGGCTGCCGTGCAAATTAAGTCTCTGCCCATTAACTTGTGTCTTCTGACCTGGGCAAACGGTGTTCATTAACTGTATGAGAATTTTATAGCGAACAAGGCCCTTATGTCTTGGCTAACCAACTACACTATGAGAAGAAACAGGGGAAAAGCTATACAGAAAATTCAAACATCTCCTACTGATTGACTACTCAGTCAAAAATGTTTAGGGAAAAAAGTGATTAATGCTCCCGTTTCAGACCCGCTAAGAGTACAATCTCCAGGCTCATGACAGCTTGCTTCTGTAATGTAAGATATGATATTTCACTTTCTCCAATGCTGAGATGCAGTCAGTCTGGAGGTGAAATATAGCTGCCGATTAATAGCATACAAAGTAAGAGTTTGTGGCAGGAAGTAGAGAATAATGTTACCTACGCAAACACTAGGGGGTATTTAAGTGGGTGGACTGTAGTTACCAAAATTGGAAGACAGTAAGATATTAGCATTAGATACTCCTCCTGGTGTAAAGAGTGCCATATGCAACCCGGAGCATTCAGAAACCATTTATTTATTTTGTTTAAATCTGTCATTTATTTTGCTTACACATTAACTCGATATGTTATTTTCTTAAGTACTTTTAAGTGTCTCACTACTTTAAAAAAAAAAAAAACAAAGAGAAATCCTTTAATTATTGAAGAAGAGCAGCTTATAACAGAGTCATTCAGAAGGGAAACTAATGAAGGTGGAAATGTTTCTCGAAATTTTAGTTTAACAGACTAGTATTCAGACTTCTGCATTTTGCCCAGCAATTATTTTAAATGGTATTCTAATACAGATTACTTATGTGGCTGTAGATTACAATGAAAATTATAATTTAACTGTTTAAATAATGCGCAATTCCATTTGACAATAATCAATATTGCAAAATGACTCAAAAATAGGTAGCAATAGGAAGAGTGCTTTTCTCCAGCCTAGCAGAAAAATTAAAGGAACGGCCCTCCTCTTGTACTGGACAACTTAGCTCTTCAAAGGCTTATGAAGACGGGCAGGAGGAAGGTAGGAGAGAGAAGAGCAGAACTGCTTGCCTGAAATGCACACAGCAAACCTACTGGCTTTCTAATGGAAAGCTTATAAGCCTTCCTCTCTGCTTAGTACAGCACTCTGAGCAACATCCCAAGTGTAGCAGAAAGGAACTGCACTTTTGGGCATTGACGAAGGTGCCGTATTTTGAGATTTAAAAAGAAGCATCCTGCACACAAGATCAGGGGAGAGCATCTTAAAAGAAATAGGAGAAGGTGTGGGCGCTCCTACTTTTTGGTACAGTTAGGAAGAAACTGGTTTTAATAATATAATATTTTGCCTAGACAAAGACTAGATTGAACATATGAGCAGGGAAGAGACCAGCCTACCATGTAATGCTATGGATTACGGAAGAAAGAGGGACTTGAATTGGACAAGTCATAGTTGCAGAAGCTGTGACCTAGTTAAAACTGCATTCTTGTTACCACTACTTCTGCAGATTGTGAAGCAATGAATTTGGTCCTCCTGTACACTTACAGCAAATAGCCTTACTGAAGCACAGTGTGTGAGAACATTGGGTACATCCACATTAGTGATTCAGTGTGTAAAAGGGATTCTTTGTGGTGCTAATCTGTCTTGTATCTATACTAGGTGTCTTGCAGTACACACTCAAGTGTGATAGTGGACTTTCACTATTTAATAAATATACAACCTCACCATTAACTTTAAAAGAACAACTTCTGCAATTAAATAGCTGTTTGCAGCACATCACCACAGGTTTTGTAGCAGAACCCACAAAGATGCACTAATATTTTTTATCAAATATCGTTTTGAGACTTCAAATCGGGAGTTTTTCATTTCTCTTGCTTCTGAAAACTACATCAAATTGAACGAAGTTATATTACTTATATGGTTCCCCTCCCCCCCAAAATAAAAATGCTTGCTTTGAATCTAGTCACAGGCAGATTAACATCTTGTGATACAATCCCTTGTAGCAGGAGCAGCTGACAAGATGAGTAATGAACTGCATCCGATTATCTTTTCAGCTCTGTGGCAATCATTTTCCAACAGTTTCCTATTCCATAACCAACAACACTGGGAAAAGGTCACCATTTTGCCAAATTACTTGTTCTCCACACACCCACCCACACATACCATCAATAAATATGTTTAATAATGCAGAGAACACACAAGCCGTTGGAAGTTAAGAGGTCCGGCTACGTCACTACTATCTAGGACAAAACCGTTTTAGTTGCATACTGCATAGTATGCCAAAATCCTTACACAACTTCAGTCCTCTCAGAAGCAAATTATTCCATTTTAGCATACAATATAAAGCCATTTCCTCTTTTCATGCAATATGCTCTTTCTTCAACAAAAGAATCCTAACTGTGATTGATGGTATCTAAAATTCAGGACGGGAAAGATTCAGGCTGACATATGCATATTTTTTTCATTATAGAATATAACTGAATGAAATCTATGAACATTTAATTCCCATCAACTGGAGAATTATAATGGCAAAACAGGATTT